TTGGCTTTAGCTGTTGGTGCGTAAATTTGAATAATAGTGGTATTAACTGGGCTTCCCTGTAGGCGCATGGATATTATCCTATCACAGACAGCGTTGTACCTCATTACTGATCTGGATATGTTCTTTTTGACAATGAATGCAATTCCTCTTCAGTTTGTCATTTCTGGCATAGTAAACCATGTGGTTGTCAGATTAAAAATGGCCAATACCAGTCCATTGCAGCTCACTAATACCTAAGATATCGATGTTTATGCATTTCATTTCATTTTTAACAACTTCCAATTTTCCCAGATTCATACTTTGTACATTCCATGTTCCGATTTTCAATGGATGTTTACAGCTGTTTCTCTTTATTTTGAGTTGTACCCCATCACCAAATGAAGGTCCCGCGGGCTTTTTTTCCCCACGGGCTTTACTCCATTCTCATCATCACGATCAACTCTACTTTGAGGAGGCAACTGTTCCCCAGCCACATTTTGAGTGCCTTCCAACCTGAGGGGCTCATTTTCTGGCCCCTGACAGTGTTCACTGCTATTTATAAGGTTTTCAGTGAGTATATATTTGGAAGTAGTTCGTCACTCTTTCTTCTTAGTCTGTCTTTGTCTGGAAGCTCATCAGCTTTCAGAATCACAGCAACTCACAAGCCACCACAGTACGACAAACTGACAGACGCGTGGCGGTATATATACTCTTATATATCATCCACTCCCCGTGCCCCTATGTGACAATGTAGAACTGTTCCACGGGGTTTCCTAGGCTGTGGTCTTACAAATTGCCAGACCTTTTCCCCGAGGAGCCTCTGGGTGGATTAAAACCACTAACCCTTCCATTTGTAACCCATCACTTAACTAACCAGTGAGAAAACAGACCTGAAATTGATGTTCATCAGGTACACAATGTCAGGAGAGGGGAGGGCCAGGGTAGACAATATCACCGGGAGTTCAGCCCAGCCCAGCGAGACTTGAGCTCACTGGGAAAGCAGGCATCAGAGTTGAGGTGAGCTAGGGGGAGTGGCTGTGTCCAGAGATGAGCCTGGGGGGCTTCTGGGGCAGTCACCACGAGGACGTTTGAGTTCCCTGCCTCTGACACTGCCCAGGCCTCTAAGACAGGGCTCAGAGCAAAGAGCGAAGCATTTACTGGGTGTGGACATCAGGAGGCCAGGGGAGCGGGAGTCTCCCAGTTTGCCTCCTGACTGGAGGGCACTCTGGGGCTTTTTAGGGGAAGGAAAACCAGGATGGCAGAACTTGTGGTCAGGTAGTGTCCTCGAGTTTTTCCATCCCAGTAGTTAGGGTGATCGCAGCTGGGACCTGGCAACCATTTCAATAGCTCCTGAGTGCAGACTTTCCCTTTAGTCCCAGGAAGAGAGTTGCCCCATCCCCCCTCATTTGAGCACCAGGATCTGCTGTGGAGATTAAAGAGGAGTGGATAATTATGGGATGTAGTAAGGGAGCGAGGTCAATTTTACCTGCAGACACTGCTGTAACGGCTACTTGGATTCCATGTTACTTTAGACTAAGCTTCTTGTTGTTGTTAAGTGCCGTGGAGTCAGTTCCGACCCATAGCGACCCTGTACAGGGTTTCCAAGGCTGTAAATCTTGACGGGAGCAGAAAGCCTCATCTTTCTCCTGCGGAACATCTGGTAGTTTCGAACTGCTGACCTTAAGGTTCGCAGCACGATTCGTTACCACTACACTACCAGAGCTCCTTTTAGACTAAGCTAAGCCTTGTCAATAGCCCTGGGTCCTCAGGGCCCCTGGATCTTCAGTGCTCCTGGTTCCTCAGTGCCCCTGGTTCCTCAGTACCCCTGAACTCTCAGTGACCCTGGACACTCAGTACCCTGGATTCTCAGTACCCCTGGATCCTCAGTACCCCTGGATTCTCAGTGACCCTGGATCCTCAGTACCCCTGGATTCTCAGTGACCCTGGATCCTCAGTACCCCTGGATTCTCAGTAATCCTGGATCCTCAGTACCCCTGGATTCTCAGTACCCCTGGATCCTCAGTACCCATGGTTCCTCAGTACCCCTGGTTCCTTAGTGCCCCTGTATTCTCAGTGACCCTTTGCAGGTGTGCACTTACACCCAACGATGAGGCTCAGAGGGCAGTGTGTCTGGGAGGGGGCTCGACAAGGCAGGATGGCCCTCAGCCAGCTCTTTGTCCCTGCTCTTGGCACGCACAGATCCCCAAGCCAAACCTACCACTGTCACATCTGTTCCAACTCACAGCCACCCTACAACACAGAGTATAACAGCCCCACAGTGTTTCCAAGAATGTAAATCTTGGTGGGAGCAGACAGCCAGGACCCTCTCTCCCTCAGAGTGCCTGGTGGGGTCACACCGCCAAGCTTGTAGTTACCAGCTCAATGCCTAACCCACTGCACCTCCAGGGTTTCTTATCTCCAGATAAGAGGGAGAAAAAAACAGCATCCCCCCTGACGGCGGTACCTGAGCAAGGACACAAAACCCCTCAGCTTGCAGCCATTTCCAGAATGTACTCACTGAGAGCGAGCAAGGAGCTCTGGTAGCGTAGTGGTTACGAATCGGGCTGCGAACCAGAAGGTCAGCAGTTCGAAACTACCAGCTGATTCGCGGGAGAAAGATGAGGCGATCTGCTTACGTAAAGATTTACAGCCTCGGAAACCCTATTCAGGGTCGCTATGGGTCGAAACTGACTCGATGGCACTTAACAACAACAACAACAACAACTCACTGAGAGCGTAGTGGTTTCTGAGCTAAGCTGCTAACCGCAAGGTCAGTAGTTCAAATCTACCAGTCCCTCCATGGGAGAACGAGGAGGCTTTCTGCTCCTGTAAAGATTTACACACCACTGGCATCACCACTCCCTGGGAATGGAATTAGAAGCAGACAGGTTTCAACTCTGCTCCTGTCACCTCTCCTCCCCTCATCCCGGCTGTGTCAATGCCCGTCTGAACCACTGCATCTTCTCTCTGTGTGTCCACAGAACATTTTCCTGATGCAACAGCACCATAGCGGCAGGGCTGACCCCAACTTCACCTCCAGGTATGTACATTGTAACTTTGATGGAGCTAGCTTTTGCAGATTGTCATTTTGCCATCTATAACTCCCTTCCCGTCCCCCCCAAACCTGTTACCATGGGGTCGATTCTGACTCACGACGACCCCATGTGTTACAGAGTAGAACTGCCTCTTGGCGTTCTTCTTTATGGAAGCAAATGCCAGACCTTTCTTCCAGGGTGCCATGGGTGGGTTTGAACTTCCAATCTTTAGATTAGCTGTCATTAGGTGACGTACTTTGATTGGTGATGGTCAGGTTAGCATTTTGAACTGCTGGGGATGGAAAGGGCAGTCAGAGATGTTCAAGAAGACCAGCATGTTGGGCAGACAGAGAAACTTGGGAGACTGACCCAGAAGGAGAGGCAGAGAGGGGAGGAGCCAAGGATTTCCTCTTTCCCAGGGGCGGAGGTTGTTGTTATTGTTAAGTGCCGTCAAGTCGGTTCCAACTCATAGTGAACCTGTACAGGGTTTTCAAGGAGTGGCTGATGAGTTTGAAGCTCCGACGTTGCAGTTAGCAGTCCCAAAGTTGTTGTTGTTAGGTACCATCAAGTCAGTTGTGACTCGTAGTGAATTGATGCACAACAGAATGAAACACCGCCCGGTCCTGCACCATCCTCGCAAACGTTGTTAAGCGTCAGCCCATTGCTGCTGCCACTGTGCCAATCCATCTCATCGGTGTGCTTCCTCTTTTTCACAAACCCTCCACTTTACCAAGCAAGACGTCCTTCTCCAGGGACTGATCCCTCCTGGCAAAATGTCTAAAGTATGAGAGGCGAACTCTCACCATCCTGGCTTCTAAGGAATATTCTGACGGTACTGCTTCCAACACAGATTTGTTCATTCTTCTGGCAGTCCATGGTACGTTTAACATTCTTCTCCAACACCAGAACTCAAGTGCATCAATTCTTCCACCATCTTCCTTATTCACTGTGCAACTTTCACATGCATTTGAGGTTATTGAAAATCACTTTAGTCCTCAGGCTGACATCTTTGCTCTTAAACATTTTAAAGAGGTCTTGAGCAGCAGATTGGCCTAATGAAATATATTTGATTTTTTGACTGCTGCTTCCATGAGTGTTGATTGTGGATCCAGACAAAAAGAAGTCTTTGCCAACCTCAATCTTTTCTCCATTTATCATGTTATTCACTGGTCCAGTGGTGAGGATTTTTGTTTCCTTTACATTGAGGTGCAATCCATAATGAAGACTGTGTTCTTTGATCTTCATCAATACAGCAAGCAAGGTTGTATCATCTGCATATCGCAGGTTGTTAATGAGTCTTCCTCCAATCCTGATGCCACGTTTGTCTTCATATAATCCAGCTTCTTGGATTATTTGCTCAGCATACAGATTGAATAAGTATGGTGAGATAAAACAAGCCTGGTTTACACCTTTCCTGATTTTAAACCATTCAGCGTTCCCTTGTTCTGTTCAAACAACTGCCTCTTGGTCCATATACAAGTTCCTCGTGAGCACAATTAAGCATTTAGGAATATTAATACTTTGCAGTATTGTCTATGGCTTGTCTTGATCCACACAATTGAAAGCCTTTGCATAGTCAATAAAGCACAGGTAAACATCTTTCTGGTCCTCTCTGCTTTCAGCCAAGATCCATCTGATGTCAGCAGTTGATATCCTTCGTTCCGGATTCTCATCTGAATGTGGCTTGAACTACTTGCAGTTCTCTGTCAATGTACTGTGGCAGTCATTTTAAAATAATCTGCAGCAAAATTTTACTTGCATGTAATATTAATGATATTGCCTGATGATTTCCACATTCTGTTGAGTCATCTCTCTTTGGAATGGGCACAAATATGTTTCTCTTTCAATCAATTAGCTAGGTAGCTGTTTTCCAAACTTCTTGGCAGAGATGAGTGAGTGCCTCCAGGGCTGCATCAGTTTGTTGAAAGATTTCAATCTGTATTCCTTCAATTCCCAATGCCTTGTTCTTTGCCAGTGCCTTCAATGCGACATGGCCTTCTTTTTTCAGTATCATTGACTCTTGATCATATACTACCTCTTGAAATGGTTTAACATTGTCCATTTCTTTTTGGTACAGTGACTCTGTGGGTTCCTTCAATCTTCTTCTGATGCTTTCTGCATCATTCACTATTTTGCCCATGTTGTTGTTATTAGGTGCCATTGATTTGGTACCTACTCATAGCAACCTTATACATAACAGAAGACTCATTAACAACCTATTATATGCAGACGATACAACCTTGCTTGCTGAAATAGAAGAGGACATAAAATACTTAGGATTTTACCCATGGACTCCTTCGATATTCCATGTCAAGGCTTGATTTTTTCCCCTCAGTTCCATCAGCTTGAGAAATAATTCCAGGTCTTTTACACATTTCATTTTAATACTTAACTTTTTCTTCTTGAACTGTCCTTTGAAATTTTTTGTTCAGCTCTTTTACTTCCTCATTTCTTCTATTTGCTTTAGCATCGCTACGCTGGAGAACAAGTTTCAGAGTCTCTTCTGATATCCATTTTGGTCGTTTCCTTCTTCCTTGTTGTTGTTAAGTGCCGTCGAGTCGGTTCCTACCCATAGCGACCCTGTATAGGGTTTCCAAGGAGCAGCTGATGAGCTTAAACCGCCAACCTTGCAGTTCAAACGGCTTTGCAGTCTGGTGCGTTAACCCACTGCACCACACCCTTTTGCTTTCTCTCTGTAGGATGTTCTTGAGGTCATTCCACAACTCTTCTGATCTTCAGTCATTAGTGTCTAATTCATCAAATCTATTCTTGAGATGATCTCTGAATTCATGTGGATTGTGTTCAAGGTCAAATTTTGGCTCTCATGGACTTGTTTTAATTTTCTTCAGCTTCATCATGAACTTGCATATGTCAACTGATGGTCTGTTCCACAATCTGCCCCTGACCTTGTTTTGGTGGATGATATGGAGCATTTCCATCATCTTTTTTCACAGATGTAGTCAATTTGATTACTGTGTATTCCATCTGGTAAGGTCCATGTGTATAGTCATCTTTTTATTGTTTAAAAAAAGTATTTGAAATGAAGAAATGATTGGTCTTGCAGAATCCTATCATGCGATCTCCAGCACCATTTCTATCACCAAGGCCATATTTCCCAAATGCTGATCCTTCCTCTTGGCTTCCAGCCTTTGCATTCCAATCACCAGTAATGATCAACACATCTTGATTGCATGTTTGATCAATTTCAGACTGAAGAAGTTGGTGGCTGTTATTGTTGTTAAGTGCCGTTGAGTCAGTTCTGACTCATAGCGACCCTTCAGTTCAAACTGACCTTGCCTTCCAGCCAAGAAGTTGATGGACTTGTTCAATTTCCTAATTACTGGCTTTAGTAGTTGGTGCATAGATTTTAATAATAGTGATATTAACTGGCCTTCCTTGAAGGGTATGGATAGTACCCTGTCACACACAGCATTATCCTCAAGGTGTTGTTGTTGGATTGGTAAATCTTGTTGGTTGTGGTGGGTGTCATTGAGTCGATAGAGTAATGCTGCCCCATAGAGTTTTCTTGGCTGTGATCTTTACAGAAGCTGATCACCAAGGCTTTCTACTGCATAGCCTTTGGGTGGGTTCAAACTGCCAACCTTTCAGTGTATAGCTAAACACTTGTCTGTAATCATGCAAAAAGGTGTGGCATACCAGTGTAACATTATGCAAGAGAGGACGGATATAGATTCTCTGAGCAACAATGAGGGAGTTTTGAGGCCATCATCTTCAGCAAACTCCAGGAATACCTGCCCGAGGAAGGGACCATCCTTCCAAGATCTGTAGGAAGAGTGGACATTAACAAGACAGAGAGAAGATAAAAGCATACCAGGGAGAGAAGCAGTGTGTTCAGATGCTCTGGGGCAGGACTGGAAGGTGAAGAGAACAAAGAGCATCATGGGAAGGTGATGTGACAAGGTTCTACAGGGGCCAGAGCACGTAGAAGAGTCCGTTAAGAGAACCCATCGGGAGGAAAGAGATGATGGGCTCAGACCTGCATTTCAACGAGATGTGCCAGCCAGCTGTAGGGTGGGGAGTGAAGCAGAGGGTAGTGAGAATGACGTGCAGGTAGGCTGGGAGACTGGTGCCATGCTGCAGGGAGACGGTTGGGTGGAGACCAAGATGTGCATGGAAGGATGTGGAAAGAGGTAGCTGCGAGGACTTGGGGGATGCCGTGAGAGCCAGAAGGTGCATGGACGTTGTTTTGTTTCCTGGCTTGCCTCGTTCTGAGGAGGGGTTCCAAACAGCAAGAGAGACACCGATGGAAGATCAGGTACTTACATAAGATCATTGTTAGGTTCCGTCGAGTTGGTTCCAGTACATGGAGACTCCATGAACATGGCTTGGTGCTGTGTGTAACTGACAAGTCCTTGAGTCCCTGTCATCAGTACCACACAGGCAAGAATGGGTCAAAAATAATAATAAAAGAAGCACATTTAAAATAAACAGGTAAAAGTGGAAAATAAAGGGATGGGGAAAGCTCTACGAGAAGACCTAATCAAGCAATCGAATGAAAAATAAACAAGAGAGCCCCAGTGATGATATTATTTGTAGATAAGAGATCATTTCAAGACCAAGTATGTTTGTCTTGTCTATATGTACAAATACAAATCTCTGTGCTCCAAGCAACATGGCAAGTACTCAAGGCAACCACTGCTCGAAATGTAAACAGGTCTTGATTAAAACACAGTAATTGTGAAAGATTTTAATACGCTGCTTTTAGAATCTGACAGATTAAGTAGGCAAGAAACAAACAAGACCACGGAACAGGGGTCCTCACTGGGGGCAATGGATTATATGAAGATGATCCTGACATCAGGATTGGAGGAAGGCTCATTAACAGTGTGCAGTAGGCAGATGACACAACCTTGCATGCTAGATGTGAATGAACTGCAGAATGAGGTTTTGCAGTCTCACCCCAAGGTATACTTGGCACAGTTGTTTTATGCTCAGTTATAAACCAAGAGGTTTCCAGTTCAAATTCACCCAGCGGCACCAGAGA